CACTACATGAGCTGCTGTTTACATGTGAACATTAGCTCATGACGATACCTAAGTACGTGTGTCGCCTGGATAGTCAACCTCGCTACATCCTTGTTGACTGGACATCTACACTACATGAGCTGCTGTTTACATGTGAACATTAGCTCATGACGATACCTAAGTACGTGTGTCGCCTGGATAGTCAACCTCGCTACATTTGTTGACTGGACATCTACACTACATGAGCTGCTGTTTACATGTGAACATTAGCTCATGACGATACCTAAGTACGTGTGTCGCCTGGACAGTCAACCTCGCTACATCCTTGTTGACTGGACATCTACACTACATGAGCTGCTGTTTACATGTGAACAGTAGCTCATGACGATACCTAAGTACGTGTGTCGCCTGGACAGTCAACCTCGCTACATCCTTGTTGACTGGACATCTACACTACATGAGCTGCTATTTACATGTGAACAGTAGCTCATGACGATACCTAAGTACGTGTGTCGCCTGGATAGTCAACCTCGCTACATTTGTTGACTGGACATCTACACTACATGAGCTGCTGTTTACATGTGAACATTAGCTCATGACGATACCTAAGTACGTGTGTCGCCTGGACAGTCAACCTCGCTACATCCTTGTTGACTGGACATCTACACTACATGAGCTGCTGTTTACATGTGAACATTAGCTCATGACGATACCTAAGTACGTGTGTCGCCTGGACAGTCAACCTCGCCACATCCTTGTTGACTGGACATCTACACTACATGAGCTGCTGTTTACATGTGAACTTTAGCTCATGACGATACCTAAGTACGTGTGTCGCCTGGACAGTCAACCTCGCTACATCCTTGTTGACTGGACATCTACACTACATGAGCTGCTGTTTACATGTGAACATTAGCTCATGACGATACCTAAGTACGAGTGTCGCCTGGATAGTCAACCTCGCCACATCCTTGTTGACTGGACATCTACACTACATGAGCTGCTGTTTACATGTGAACTTTAGCTCATGACGATACCATAGTATAAAGAACATCTTCATACTATGACGATATATCATCTTTATACTATGACGATACCTAAGTACGTGTGTCGCCTGGACAGTCAACCTCGCTACATCCTTGTTGACTGGATCCGCTAAAACCTGAGGTCATAGTTTCGAAGTAGCAAATTTATCAGCATTGCAGTGTTTAGAATAACGATGTGTAACTATAGAAGGATATTTTGTACGACACGTTCTCACGTATATTTTAATAGTATCGTGGTTAGCGTCTTAAAAAGTTTACTGACAATGATTTAGTTATCTATGCCCTATAAGTCTTGTCTTGTCTTTGGTTCGACGTGACGGACGTGATGTAACTGCTGGTTTAGAAGCAGTGTATGATGAAAGTTTATGTGTCTTTGTGTTGCGAATTAACTAATTTAAACTGTCAAACACCAAGCGATCACCGGTGACCGCGACCTATTGTTCTTTAATTGTGTCTATAAAACCGGTACTCGACGAGTTAACTAGCTTCTGCCCGCGACTTCGTACGCGCAATCCCGTTTACTTCCGTTCCCGTAGGATTTTCAGGACTTTTTCTGTCATAAGAACCTTTTCCTGATAATAATAAACCCACCAAAAAATAAATCACCAAATCGGTCTAGCCATTCTCAAGTTATGGCGTGACAACGGGAAACGGGTTTCATTTATATATATATAGAAGTAGAGTGTATTAGCTACTTGACTATGTCGTTTGTAGAGTGAATTAGTGATTGCAAACGCGATTGCTGAAGGAGAGGTTTCAGGTTCGATTCCTTGGTCGGGCTGAGCATTATTGGGTAACATACCTGTAAGTACCAATGTACTTTTTCCAAATTATATGTATGTACTTTCTAAGATTATACATCACTGACAAAAGATGAAGGAATACATCGTGAGGTTATAATTTCTATTTTTTTTTTACATCATCACGCCTTTTGTTTTCGAAGGGGTAGGCAGAGGTGCACATTATGCCACTGTACAATGTAACACCCACTTTTCACTATTTTATGTTATGAGCCCCATGTATAACAATTACCGGCCCCATTTCCACACTCCGTGCTACTACTGAGATTTTTTTTAAAACCCAGTCAGTAATAGTTTGCCCAACCCGGGAATCAAACTCGAGACCTCTTGCCCGGCCGTCGCACTTGCGACCACTCGACCAATGAGGCAGTCATAAAAATCTTACTAGGTACAAACCCATGCCCTCTTTACCTTGGCCCACATAATACTTTAAACCTAAGTAAAGTCTAAGTACTTACTTAGTATTATTACTTAATAAGCAAGCAACTTAATATCGTGTGACACGCAGTGTGCAACAGTGCGGGAACTTGGACACCGAAGTAATATTCCTAACTTATTAAAAGTAGGTAGGTACAGTCAGCCTTTTTAGCATGTTTAATATCCTTACTAATATTATAAATCGGAAAGTGAGTGTTTGTTTGTTTGTTTATTCCGCTTTCACGCCGTAACTACTAAACCGATTGCTTTGAATTTTTACAGACGTAAAGTTAGAAGTCCGGATTAAATAAATGTATTGGTATAGATGGCGCTGTGTGTATAGGTATATGTCACATAGACTACTTTTTATCCTTTTGTGACGCGAGCGAAGCCGCGGGTAAAAGCTAGTATAGTTAAAAAAGTAAAGATTAATACAGTACAGAGAATAGGATAGATGCCTAATTTTTATTTTAAACTGTCAAATACCAAGCGGTCACCGGTGACCGCGACCTATTGTTCTTTAATTGTGTCTATAAAACCGGTACTCGACGAGTTAATGTCCGTCTGGTAGATTATTTTAAATAATTAGCCACGTAGTTTTTATTTTCATACGGAAACAAATAAATACCGTTGACGATTTGAAATATCGTGTCATATCACGATTTAGGTAGTTAGGTACTAAATTTTGTAGAGAGTGGTGACGTAGGTAGCTCCCACTACTAGACTTAAATTCATTAACCGACTTCAAAAAAGGAGGAGGTTATTTTATCTAAGTCTTATTTTCTTATACTACCAAAAGCAAATTGTTCTCATTTAATTTTAAACTCGTTGATTCACCTTGGTGCCAATGTTCGACAGTGGAGCTGCAATACGAGCAGTCGGCCCATCACATACTCTGAGGGGAGTGTGATCTCTGGCAATATGAACGTAACACTATGTTAAATAAATTAATTGTTTCGTCAGGTGCGGCTTATACGGACCTTGTAAAATCTAGAACAAATTTACGTGCGTTTAGGCGCCTTTCCTTTGCCATACCTATTAGGTACTGGAAGCAAGTATAACACATAGGACCCATTTTAGTCAAATTTCCGTGGTGCTTGGCGACTGGGCTTCACCCAGTTGTACAGTCTCTTTTCTTTGTGCCTTTAGGCTTAATTCATTCTGTCTCCTGCAGTAATTCACCAAGGAAAGTGGAAAAGTTTTTTTTCTTCTCCTCTGATAATACTTTCTGATTCAGTTCGTTGCGGGAACCAAGAAAGTTATTCATGTCCCTGAGACGCGCCGGACTTCAGTGTTCCGGTGTTTTTATGGTTGTATCTACTGTAGATCCTGGCTTACAGAAGTTGCAGCGGTTTTGGGAAGATGTGGCGGGCTTGTCCCATTAAAAAAAATTACCAAAAGGAAAAAAACATGTCTAATATTTTTCATTATTAGGCGGACTAAATACATTTTTAATTTTCATATCCCGTGACCCTATCAACTAGGCTATTGGTTACAAAATAATATTAAAAATATACAGCTTCGTTAAAAACCACGATATTTGGTGTAATGTATACGTCTCTGTACTGAGTCAATCTTTATTTTAACTTGTACCTTGTAACCAAAACTTGGTTGACTGTACCTGTTCATTTAAATCGTAAAACACACGCAACCTTAATCTCGTATGTCGTGCCGATGTCCTTCCTACTCTTTATGGGATTAGGGGCAAACGAGTAGATTGGTGACCTGATAGATGGGGCCCAGTAGGACTGATGCCCGACTCAGAGCCGCGGATGCCCTCACTAACGGGTTACTGGGGCTCCGGCTCGAAGCAGCAGCAGGTACGTGATGTTTTTTATCATTAAGAGTCTTGCACTGCTCTCGTCTCACCCAAGCCGGGAGAATTGAGAAGTGGAGCCAAACGTCGGGAGAATTGTCTCATTGTCTCCTCTCAAAAACAGAAAAGGAATAAGAGGCGCTGGTGAACAATTATAGCACTCGAAGAGTTACGAGTGCGTTGCTGACTTATTCGCTTAAACGGTGAAACACAATTGTAGCATTGTTTCACGCCAGCGTTCTGTGAAGCCATCGTAGTATCACTGCGATCGAGTTGATAATTCTCGAATAAATCGGCTATGTCTCTTTAATGGATATCCTTATTTATTACAAGACTTAGCGTTACTTACGATCACTTTTTAGTTTTCCTATTTTTCAGGCTAGGATGTACTTACCTACATACGTAAAGATTTGGTTAATTGTAACTGTATTTGCAAAATATTTTCTGCAATTTGAATGCCTAATCTACTAGCTTCTGCCCACGATTTCGTACGCGCAAATCCGTTTTCTCCCGTTCCAGTAAGATTCTCAGATTTTTTTCTGTCTTAAGAACCTTCTCCTAATAATTAAATAGGTACAACAAAAAAAGAATTAGTGAAATCGGTCCAGCCATTCACGAGTGATGCCGTGACCAAGAAAAAAAGGATTCATTTTTATATATATAAGATTGTCAACTATGTTTTCTTATTTATTTAAATTAAAAAAATGTATTGAGTAAACTATAAAAGTATGATAAAAAAAAATATGCTGTGTGTATCCGAACACAAATAAAATCGCATCTTCAAGAAACGTCAGATAAAGCGACATATGATTCAACTATCAACTGTCACGAAGTTTAGTGTCACTGTCAAATCCCATCCTATCCGGGAATGAAATCATTACACCAAAAAATGTTATTTATACGATAAATTACAATAAACTACAATAGAAATAACATGTAAATATGGCAGAAAAACTCAGACAAATAGCGCAAAGGCTGAAAGACAAAGTGCATTTACCTCATATAGCAAATGGCCGTGAAACTCTTTTTGCGAAATATACCCCAGCAACCAAAGTTTCAGACATAGCAGATAAGTTGAAATACGACACAGTATCGAAGAATTTGCGCGAAATAGTATCTAGATATGAAAAATTCACGGGTGTCGAAGAAATTATGGCTATTCAAAAAACTGTTGTGGATGCACAGGTTAGTTTTTTTTGTAATCCGCCGATGCGCGCAAGGTCAATCATTGTTATGCCTTTATTTTTTTTTCTCATTGCTATGGTATGCGAACTCCTTATTGGTTCTATGCTTACATCATAGTATTAAATTATCTGTATTTTATCTATCTTTTAAGATGTAACTAAGGTTTATATACCTAAATAAATAAATGCATGTTCATCTTAGATTGCTTAGATAAAGCGGAAAAATGACGCAATAAGCTGTGCTTTGTCTCTAGATTCTAGAATACTTATTTATCACATTACTATGTAGAACACATGTAGTGTTTGAAATTATTGGTCTCCTGCCAATATCAATATAAAATTATTATTTATAATATATCTATGTATTTAATAATCTTTGACATGTTATGGTGTACATATTTATTAAATAATAATGTTGTGTTCCTAGGTGAACCAAGGTATGAGTAACTAATCTATTTTTAGATTTTCCATAATGTTCTGTGTTACCATTAGACCAATTTGTGTATGTAAACACTGAAATTTAAATAGAACTTCTTTAAAAATACTGTTACTTATGAAAATATATTTCGGACTATGGAATTTGCTATATTCTCCTTTAAGATCTCTATCAATAGACCTTTAAGTTAACTATTTAGGATGTAGTTATATTTACCAGCTACATTTACCATTTAAACTGTCAAACACCAAGCGGTCACCGGTGACCGCGACCTATTGTTCTTTAATTGTGTCTATAAAACCGGTACTCGACGAGTTAAACCCCCTATTACATCAAATAAAAACAATTTTAAATATATTTTCAGGATAAATTTATGGCAGCTCAGGACAGAAGGCGGGAACTTGGTCGGCAGGTTGCCGGTGTGGAGATGAGGCTGAAGGAGCTGCATTCAGAGATGCAGAATACTATGAAAGGCGATGACAAGTACTTACACCTCTGTACTGAGGAACATAAGGTTGGTTTTTGATTGTATTTATATGACTGCCTCGTTGGCCAAGTGGTCGCAAGTGCGACTGCCAGGCAAAGGGTCTCGGGTCCGATTCCCGGGTCGGGCAAGGTATTACTGGGTTTTAAAAAAAATCTCAGTAGTAGCACGGAGTCTAGAATTGTGCCCGGTATATGGCATTAGGCTCACCCCCTATTACATGGGACTCATAACATAAATAGTGAAAAGTGGGTGTTACATTGTACAGTATCATAATGTGCACCTCTGGCTACTCCTTCGGGGATAAAAGGCGTGAGGTTATATTATGTTATATGTTATGTTATACCAATGATCGGCACCGTGCTGTGGCTGAGTTTTTTTTTTTTTTTTTTTTTTTTTTCTGTTTTATATCCCGCAACACAGCAATCTGTTTATAAAACATTTAGCCGCTTTCTTGGCTGACTCATTGTCTGAGTGTGGCATATTGCATTGAAGAGAAGTATCCAATGAATTTCCCTTCCTACTAGCTGTTGAATCGGTCTATGAGGTTAGGTACACTGCTCCTCTTCAGTCTTGCAAATTGGATACTTCCAGATCCCGATAACTTAGAAGCAAGGGCATTGACATGCTTAGATAGCTTTTTCTGATAGTTTGAGCCTCTCTGAGAAATTTCTTCTCTAACAGTTTTTAGCCTTAGGTCTTGTAAAATGTATTTGTTGCTAATGCTTTTGGGTATATTGTACATGCATCTCATTGCCTTCATTTGAAACCTTTCCAGAATTTCTATATTGCTGGTACTTGCTGTTCCCCAGAGCTCAATTCCGTATGCCCAGATCGGTTTCAGGATAGCCTTGTATACTGCCATTTTACTTTCATTCGATAGTTTTGAGTTTTTACCGATCAACCAGTACATATTTCGAAGAGTTGTGTCGAGCTGTTTTCTTTTGGTCCAGATGTGTTTCCTCCAAGTTAATCTTCTGTCGAGATGCATGCCAAGATATTTAGCAGTTTCGTCTTGCGGTATTTGTTCGCCATTAAGTAGAACAGGAGGGCAGTTTCCTTTTCTTAAGGTAAAAGTGACATGGACTGACTTGGTTTGATTAGCCTTTATTCTCCATTGTTTCAGCCATGTTTCAACTTCATTAAGGTGATTTTGCAGGGTTTCCGAAGCGATATCTGGATCCTTATCCACTGCCAGAATTGCAGTGTCATCCGCATAGGTGGCCATGGTGGTATGTGCGTGAGTGGGTACATCTGCAGTAAACAAAAGATACAAAACAGGCCCTAGTATGCTGCCCTGTGGGACTCCTGATTGTATTTCGTACAATTCTGATGTCTCACCGTTGAATTTGACTTCATAACATCTTTTGCTTAGGTAACTCTCAAGTATTGGAAAAAAGGAGTGTGGCAGAGACTTCTTGATTTTGTACAGTAGACCCTCTTGCCAGACCTTGTCAAAGGCCTGACTAATATCCAGGAATGCAGCCGAACAATATTGCTTGGTTTCAATTGTATGACCGATAGTATCTGCCAATCTGTGTACTTGCTCGACGGTACCATGGCCATGTCGAAAACCAAATTGATGTTCTGGAAGTACTCTATCTAGGTGTGGATTGAGACGATTGATGATAATCCTTTCAAAGATCTTACTGAGAAGAGGGAGAAGACTAATTGGTCGGTATGACGACACTTCCTCTACCGGTTTGCCAGGTTTAGGGATCATTACAACTTGAGCAATCTTCCACTGGCTTGGATAATATGAGAGCCTCAGGCAGGCATTAAAAATGTTTACTAAGTAGATTATTCCTTTTCTCGGCAGGTTTTTCATCAGCGTGGAGTCTATAAGGTCATATCCAGGGGCTTTTCCAGATTTCAGAGCCATAATCATCTTATCTATCTCTTTAGGACTTACTGGTTTAATAGGTGCACAAAGCTGGTAAGGAGATTTTAAGTAGGTTATAATTTCTTTATCAGCCTCTGGGTTATTACTGGGGAAAGGTTTGAAGACACTCTGGAGATATTCAGCAAATACTGTTGCTTTTTCTAGATCGGATCTAGCCCAGTTCCTGTCCTGTTTCCTTAATGGTGGAACATGGATATCCGGTCGTTTCAATTTCTTTGTTGCGCACCAAAGTGAATACTTGGTGTCTTTATGGGGAGTTAAGTGGGCCAATTTACTCTGCACTGTGTGATTCTCCAGATCTTTGATAAGTATCTTTATTTCTTCTGTAATTTTATTAAACTTGGTTTTATCTGAGGGATACCTTGTTTGTTGCCATTCTTTCCTCAATTTTCGCCGTTCTTGGACTTTGTCTCTTATTAGTTTGGGGTAGTTTTTTAGTTTTAATTTAGGGTTTTTTTGTGTAGGTGTAGTTAGACAGGCGGCAGTAAGAATAGCTGTATTGAATTTTTGAATGCTTATTTCTAGGTCCTCTGGCGATTTCAGTTTAATTTTTAGATCTAATGTTTCACTGACCATTTCTTGAAATTGTTTCCAGTTAGTTTTATGATTATGTAGTTTGATGGTAGTTTCTTGCAGGATAACTGTTTGGTACACATTTAGGATTACTGGGGTGTGATCTGAAGATAGGTCATCACACGCTTCTATTTTTATGTAACCTCTGCCAATATTTTTTGTTATATAGAAGTCTAATAGGTCAGGTATCTTGTTTTGGTCTGTGGGCCAGTATGTAGGTTGACTGTGGGATATCCATTCCAGTTTTAGATCTAGTGTACTTCTATATAGTTGTCTTCCTCTAGGATTGATAAGCCTTGAACCCCAATTAGTATGTTTGGAGTTCCAGTCCCCTCCACAGATGAAACGTGTGCCTAATTGGCTGAAAAACATCTTGAAATCATCAGAGGATATTACATGTCTTGGTGGACAGTACACAGCAGACACAGTAGTCAATTCCGATTTATGCTGAATACAAATAGAGGTTGCTTGTATTTTATCAGTTTTATATGGTTCAAGGACGTGGTGTTTTATATTACTTTTGACTATAACGGCTGTCCCTCCATGCGAGTTTCCAGATGGATGTTCAGTCCTATATATGCTGTAGTTTTGTATTTTAATGTATGATTGACGTGTAAATCTCGTTTCAGATATTAGAGCAATATCAATGTTTTCAGTATTCATAAACAGTTCAAGCTCTTGCCTCCTATCAGTTAGTCCGTTGGCATTCCAGGTAATCAACCGGATATTTAGGCCCTCTGGGTCACTATCTGTGTAATAAGTTGGATCATCCGATCCATCATGCTGTCCATCATGTTTTTCATGATTGCTTCAAATTTATTGAACATGGTGTCCAATAGGCTGGCTATATGTCCTGATTCATTAGGAATGTATGGGGTGTTGTTAATATGGTTTCCATTTTTACCTTTTAGCGTATCTGAATAACTTCTCTTGGGTAAAGTTGTTTTGAAGGTTTCATTCATGTTGTGTATATTTGTTTGATCTGGTTCTTTTGTATTCTTCACCTGTATGTTGTTGGATTTAGGTTTGATTTTAAGTATCTTTTCTTTGTATTCTCTGTATTTTGAGCATCCCTTATAGCTTGCCGGATGTTTGCCATGGCAGTTAACACATGTAGGTTCTGTCTCCAGAGTTTTAGTACATGTAGTAGTTGGATGATCATTCCCACATTTTACGCATCTAAATGGTCGAAAACATTGATTTTTTGAGTGTCCAAATCTCTGGCATCTCTTACATTGTATTACTTCCTTCTTCTTGTAAGGTGCTTCGATCGTGACTTTCACTTGACCAATATGTTTAAGATTGAAGATGTCTTTATTGTTGGGCCTTGGTTCCAAGTCTAAGAAGTACATTGGGAGTTTTTCTTTGGTTGTGCGATGTAATACATTTACTATTTGCCTAACTTCGTGTCCGTTTGCCCTTAGTTCTTCTTTTACAAAGGAAGTATCTTCACTAGAGTGGAGGCCTCTTATAACCACTCTATATGCTCGCTCGCTCTTAAGTTTATAAGTATAATGATTGATGTTATTTTCCATGAGGTTGTTTCTTATAACTTTGTATGCTTCAATGTCAGTTGGCATTAATTTAATGATGTGACCGGATTTTAGGGTAGTTAATGTGTATTTTTCATGTTCGATTACGCTGTTTAGGAGAGCTTTGAGTGGCACTATGTTGACAATGCCAGTAACAAAAATAGGTTCTGGTTTTGGGATGAACTCTTTCGGTTTCTTGTCTGACACATTATCATCATCGCTAAGAATTTCGAACTGATTTTGTGTAGAGATAGAGTAAGTTGTTCGTTTACTTGCAGGTTTAATTATATCATTACTTGTTGGACTATTTTCGTTTCTTTTCCGTTTTCTTATTTCAGGTACTTTGTCTTGTTGCCAGTCTTGATTTGGACTTTGATTCTGTTTCACGATTAAGTCTCCTTGTGTTCCAGGCGTGGCTTTAGTGTAGTTTTCTTTTTGATTTTGGGTTAAGTTTTGTAGATTTGGTTGATCCAGTGTTTCTATGGCGGACATACTGTTACACCGATTTCTTATAAACATGCTTTTATGGAATGTTTGTTGTACCATAGTGTTGGGGTTAGTTTTGTTTTTAATATTATCATTCATGTTGTTCCCACGAGTCAGGTCGAAATATGTGGTCACTTAAGGGGTGACGCCTATTCCCTTAAGAAGGCTGTATACAACGACGTTTGCCGGGTCCGTCGAGGTTGGCGCTTGTGACTTAACTCCCTATAAGCCATGCATTCTGTCGGCGCGTTTCCCACCTTAGAATTAGGGTAAGTTTTTATAGAGGCTGTCTACCTCTTGACACGGACAATGAAGTCAATGCCCCCGATTCCGTCACTAGAATGACGGATTTGCGGGTTGTGAAGATCATTTCCTATCTTCCACAAAGGCTATCTTGTTAGGATAGCTATGTCAGGTTAATTAACCGCCGCCCAAGACCCGGTGTTATTTAGCCGCTCGTTTAGCACCACCCGGGGGACACGTGTAGGGTGGGCCTTAGGATAAGGTGGTAACTCCTACGGACGCGAGCAACTTCGCCCCCGTGGCTGAGTTGCTGCATTTTTTCTTTCCTCTTTATAATTTGGCGCACTCAAAGAATTTTCAAACTCTGGACAATAATTTGATTAATTTGTGGATAACACAAATGCGCGTGAGTCGAACCTGCGAATCGATATGCAGCAGTCAGCCATTCAACCAACTGTGTAGTCAAACAATTATATATGTATGATGTATTTGTCATTTTACGCACAATGGTGAATTAGCCGCGAGTTCGATTTTCATTTTTTCCTTAAACAATATTTCAGAAGCTTTGAAATACCAATAGGCTCACCCCCTATTACATGGTACTCGTAACATAAATAGTGAAAAGTGGGTGTTACATTGTACAGTGGCATAATGTACACATCTGCCTACCCCTTCGGGGATAAAAGGTGTGATGTTATGTTTTGAAAAACCAAAAAGTTCCAGTAACACTTTTCGACCAAGAAAATCCCTATAACACTGTTTAATCAAGTAATTGGACCCGAAACGCCTTAACCCTCGCCAGAATCTCTATCTATTATATCGACTGCACGCTTGTCGCGGTGGTTGGGCAAATGGCTACCGCGCAACGTGTCGCGTGTTCGGTACCCGCACGGAACAACTCTTTGTGTGATCTACAGATTGTACATTTATATATGACTAAAGATAGGTACTATCTTGCAAAATATTGTATAAGACAAATAGCGGTGTCGCTATCATATTTTTTAAATATTACAGCCAAGAACTTGGCTAAACAGGTTGCTCCTATTGAGCAACTTTCAAATATTGACATTATCAATAACAATTCACTAAATATTGACATCTATAATAATTTAAATTAAAAAGTAAGACAATAGAGGAAACCTCTTGCAAATCAAACAGTAGTGTTATCAATCTGGTTCACCAAAATATTCAAGGTTTTATGAGCAAGGAACTAGAAATAGAGTTATTTTTGAATTGCAATAATGTTGACATTTTGTGTATTACTGAGCATTGGTTGAAATCTCATCAGCTAATGTTCAATTTTGGTAATCACCAGATTGGTAGCTCGTTCAGCAGGGAGAACGCTATACATGGTGGTTCACTAATATTAATAAATAACAAACTTAAATTTAAAGAACGCAAGGATATAGTTAGTTACTCTGTTGAACGCACTGTTGAATTAGCTTGTGTGGAATTGGAGCGGTTTATTGTTTTAAGTGTGTATAGACCACCTTCTGGTTTATATGACTGTTTTGAAACAGTAATAGATGAAGTATTAAATAAACTCAGTAATTCAAATAAATTCATCATTACATGTGGCGATTTTAATGTTAATTTGTTAGAAAATTCTAGTCTAAGCACTAAAATTGTAAGTTTATTTACCTCTTTTAACCTCACGAACTTATTTCTGGAGCCCACTAGGATAACTCCCACTAGTGCCACTTGCCTGGATAATATTTATACTGACATTGTACCAGTTAAGAAACAAATTATATCATTGCTTGATTCAGATCACTGCGGACAGTTAATTTCAATAACAAATCATGTAAATACAATATCTAAACCATTTATCACTGTTAACCCAAAGACTGAAAGACGCATTGAAACCTTCAAAACTAAAGTCACTCAAAAATTACCTTTGTTGATGAATAAAAATCCTAATAATTTGTATGATGAATTTTTTAATATGTACCATACCGAGTTTGAATCTACCTTTACACCTAAAACTATACCAGTTAATGGCAATGTGTCTTTTAATGAATGGGCAACCACTGGCATCTATAAAAGTAGGAAACGCCTCTATGAGCTTTATAATGAGAGGACATTTATTAACACAATTGAATTTAATATATATGTTAGGAAATATTCTAAATTGTTTAAAAAGGTCTGCGCTATTGCAAAGTCGCGTTACTTGAGCTCCAAAATAAGGAACAGTACCAATGTCATCAGAGCGACCTGGAGTATTATTAACAGTGAGACGGGAAGGTCTAAAAAGAGAAGTAATGAATATAGTCTTCTAATTGATAATAATGTAATAAAATCAGACGCAGAAGTTGCAGCTGCATTTGAAAGTTTCTTTTCGGACATTCCTATATCCACGACTAAGTCATTGAATTCCTCTCCCACTGTTGCAGAATCTTTACTAAAAGAAAATGTTATAGCTTGCAGCATAGGGTTCTCTTTTGAACACATAGATTATATAGATATTGTCAAAACCTTCCATACCTTAAATAAGAAAAAGACTGCAGATTTGTGGGGTAATTCTGTGTACATCGCCGGCTCTGTTATAGCTATTATAGCACCTTTATTAGCTCTAATTTTTAATAACTGTATCGACCGCGGTGTGTTTCCTGATCTTATGAAAAATAGTAAAATAACTCCGTTATTTAAATCAGGTAGTACTTCTGACCCCACTAACTTTAGACCTATTTCAGTACTGCCTACATTTAGTAAAATTTTTGAAAAAATTATTCTAAATCAAATGCAAAGATTTTTTAATAGAAATAAATTGTTACATGGTAGCCAGTTTGGTTTTACCAGGAGTCGTTCAACAACTGATGCCGGTGTTGAACTTCTTAATCACATATATGACGCGTGGGAGGACTCAAGCGACGCTTTGGGCATTTTTTGTGACTTATCCAAGGCGTTCGATTGTGTCCTTCATGATACATTGATCAGGAAGCTATCCCACTATGGAATAAGAGGTAAATCTCTGGATCTTCTTACCTCATACTTGAGTAACAGGATTCAGAGAGTCGAGATAAACGGAAAAGTCTCCGCCGGGTCTGTTGTCAGGATGGGGGTTCCGCAGGGGTCAATTCTCGGCCCTTTTTTGTTTCTTATATATATAAATGACTTGCCTCACCTTGTAAAGGATAACCACGGGATAGTACTGTTTGCGGATGATACTTCGTTATTATTCAAACTTAAACGTAGACAATTAGTCATTGATAATGTAAACAGCGCTCTCTCGGAGATAGTACATTGGTTTAGTGCCAACAATCTACTACTAAATGAAACTAAAACTAAATGCATTAAATTTACAACGCCAAATGTTAGACATGTAAATACCAGCGTGCTAATTAAGGGTGAGGAGTTGGGCCCTGTAGATTCTGCTGTCTTTTTAGGTATAACCCTAGACGCTAAGCTCCAGTGGGCTCCACATATAGATAAGTTATCGAAAAGGCTCAGTTCTGCAGCATATGCCGTTAAAAAAATTAGAATTTTAACCGATGTAGATACAGCGCGATTAGTATACTTTAGTTATTTTCATAGTGTTATGTCATACGGTATTCTCCTATGGGGGAATGCTGCTGACATTCAATCTATCTTTGTTTTGCAGAAGAGGGCCATTCGATCAATTTATAATCTTAGTCCGAGGTACTCTCTCAGGGAACTATTTAAAGAAATTAACGTAATGACTGTTGCCTCTCAATACATTTATGAAAATGTAGTATATGCTCATAAAAACAAAAGTTTATTTAAAAAGCATAGTGATATACATAATATCAACACGAGAAATAAAGACAAATATGTTGTTCCCACTACTAGACTAAAGAAAATAAGTGGTTCGTTTAGATGTCAGAGTATACGCTTTTACAATAAAATTCCCAGCCATATCCAAAATTTGAGTCTAAATAAATTTAAAAATGTCATTAAAGATAAACTTTTTAGTAAAGCTTTTTATAAAATAAAAGACTACCTAGATGATAGTCTGGCTTGGGAATAAGCCGCTGTAACGTCCACACAGGTCATGTTGACATGTTTGTAACATATAGTTACATTTCTTTTTATATGCAATTTGACATTATTAGCATAATGTGATATTGTTTTTCATTTGAAAAATTTATATTTTTTTGAACTTGACATTTACCTCTATTTTTTACAATTGTTAGTGCTAGGACCGTGCGAGACTTTGCCTCGCCATTTCTTTTCTTATTTCTTACTTATACTCTGACAGTTTGAGTATTTGTGCGACCCACGCAAATGTTCTTTAGGTTGGTATTGTTCGTCGAATCACTCAGCCTCATCTGTTAATTGAGCTGACTGTAAACCGACACATGCGTACTGCTTTCAGAACGGGTCCGCTCAAGCTGTTGTGGTTCTTTCATCAAAAGGCCACTACAGAAAGAACTTGCACGGTTCTCACACATAATCTTTTTATACATATTTGTCTGGACTTTAAAAGAGACAGACCTCTGAGTTTGTTTCGGCATTTCTTCTCAGAGTAGTCAGTTAGGAAATGTCGACCTCATCGTTCGCTTGATAAAATTGACGTGCTGCCTTGTAGCCTATTTGCAGAAATAAATTCACTTGTTTCACTTGTTTCACTTGTTTCACTTTCACTTGTTTCACTTGTTTCACTTGTTTCACTTGTTGTTCCGGGTCTGGGTGTCATGTGTATGTGTACTTGTATATTTGTAAACGCACCTACGATACAGGAGAAAATCCTAGTAAGGGCAACGAGTTTAAAAAAAAACCCAAAAATTATGTTAATTATGTTAACTGGCTGCCGTGCAACGTGTCGCGCGTTCGATACCCGCACGGAACAACTCTTTGTGTGATCCACAGTTTGTTGTTCCGGGTCTGGGTGTCATGTGTATGTGAACTTGTATGTTTGTAAACGCACCTACGATACAGGAGAAAATCCTAGTGTGGGGTACCAGTTTGTAAACAAAATAAATCCTATTCTAGCTTATAGTACAAGAGCGCGCTCTCCGCGCATTATTCGGCGACGCTGAACGGGAGGAGAGGGAACTATTCGCCACCATGTCGGCTGCAGTCAAGCTGGGGCACGAGCGGGAGAGGGCTCACGCTGAGCGCAACAAATACTGGTATATTGTCGCTTCTATATTGGGTGAGTTATCTGCATTACTGCTTAGCTACCAAAGTAAGAACTAAATAGGTAGATATTAAGATGAGCACATTTATCGCATTGGGCATTAACCTGTAAAGATAAATGTAAGTGAAAAAATAAATAAATAAATAAAGTACCGATTTGCGACCGCAATTAGGTACTTTCCTTAATCCTTACTAGTCCTTATCCTTACTAATATTATAAATCGGAAAGTGAGTTTGTTTGTTTGTTTGTTTGTTCCACTTTCACGCCGTAACTACTAAACCGATTGCTTTGAATTTTTGCAGACGTAAAGTTAGAAGTCCGGATTAAATAATAGGGTACTTTTTATCACGGAAAAAATTGATATTCTCGAGGGAAAACGAAATTATTGGTATAGATGGCGCTGTGTATTGGTATATGTCACATTGGCTTTTTATCCTTTTGTGACGCGAGCTAAGCCGCGGGTAAAAGCTAGTCAAAAATAAATTATTTCGACGGTTCAATACAATGAAATATTAAAAAATAATCGCATTTCATTAATTGATTTTAGAAACAACTTACGTTTATTATTTATCCAGCAAATTTTTAAGAAGTAAGTATGCTGTTTGACGCTAAAAAATGTGACGTCACAATTCACAATCTCGTACAAAATTCATAGAAAATTGTCGTTTTTGGCAGTTCAAAAAAAGGATTGAATTTAACTAGTTGGCAAGTACTTGATAGTAAGGTTGCGATCCAGAGATATTGTTTAAGAGCCATGCTTCGAAGCCGAAACATTCGGATTGGCTTAACCGCAAAAACGACGTCAACGTTCTTGTAATCACCCACAAATTAACAACATGTTGTGTATCTGTGCGTCTATACTGTACACACCTCGTGCGCCGGTCATGGGATTGTGGAATAAAAGACGACACTTTGTAAATAAACACTGTTTATTGCACTGTTACTGATTTAAAAAAGTACGATAATCTATACTAAATTAAATTATAAATGTTTGAAAAGCTTTCTTATCCTAGTAATTGATTTTGCACACACTCTTGAAGCGTTCGTAGCGAATTACATGCATAACTTTTTGGACTACAAGAGTTCCACGATTGAAAGCGGTTTGCACGAAATTGATAATGTCACTGATAACAATTTGTTTTGTAGTTATACACTCACAGGCACATTTAACCGCCCACTTAAGAAATACGTCACCACGTTAGTTTGCGATAAGGAATGTTTATCCCGATGGATGTTTTGTTTCAAGTGGGTACTTTGGCAACAAATTAAACACTCTGACCCTTGTTTTTTTTAGAAGTTCGTGTATACAGATTCATTTTTGTAATTTAGTCGAAATTTGACATTCCTTGCGATCGGATTAGTGTGAGATTTAACCTGGTTATCCTGCTCTTTTTGGTGTAATTACTGTTCTGTTAAATTATTGCATTAATTTGATTACTGTAATCACACAAAAATGCCACTGGATGCAATTGGAGCTGCAAGAGCCGTAGCTTTTGCTGATGCTGGGTACAACCAACGTCACATTGCTCGGATGCTTGGTGTACCTCAAACCACTGTATGGGATGATATCAGGCACTTTCGGCAGACGGGTTCCAACACGCAGAGACCGTGACAAGGCCGTCATCGGTGCACATCTGCTCGAGAGGCTCGTTTCATTGTGAACAATGTGCTGAGAAATCGCTTCACCACTGCTCCCGAGGTGATAACTAGCCTGTTTGAAGTACGAAATGTCAGCGTAAGTGAACGGACGGTGAGAAGAAGGTTGGCAGAGAGGAACCTGACTGCATTACGTCCTGCACGCGCCCCAGAATTGCTCCCACAGCACCGTAGAGCGCGACTTCAATTTGCGCGAGAATACGCTGACTGCACTATGGACCGATGGAAGGACGTTCTGTTTTCAGATGAAAGCAAAATAGCCCTACGAGGTCCAGATGGGCGTCAGCGAGTGTACAGATGACCAAATGAAAGGTTTGCTCCGTGTACAATAGTGGAAACTGTGGGTTATCAAGGAGGTTCAGTAATGGTTTGGGGGGCATCAGTTATTACGCTCGTACCGACCTCGTAGTGTGTGATAGAGGCAGTGTTACTGTACACAGGTATCTGGCGGAGGTTTTGCAAAGCCACGCCGAGACATTTGCACCATTTATTGGTGACAATTTTCAATTCATGCACGACAATGCCCGATGCCACGTCGCTAGAATAGTGACCCAGTACCTGGACGAGGTCGCTATACGAACATTACCGTGGCCAGCACGCAGTCCTGACCTCAATCCAATTGAACACATCTGGGACAACCTTAAAAGACGGGTTCGGCAAAGATTCCTGCACCAACGACTATTGGAGAACTCAAGATTGCTGCAGTAGAAGAGTGTCATAACATCCCTCAGTCTGACATCCAAGATGTCATTGATGGACTTCCAAACCGACTGTAAGAAGTCATTAGAGCCCGAGGAGGTAACACCCATTACTAAAAGTCACTAGACGACCACAGAAAATTAAAAATTAACAATATTGTAAATCTATACTTTTCAACAAAAATAACTAATAATGCTTTTTTTACTTAAATGGTGAATAAATGCCGATTTTTACATTATTACACAGTGTTTAAATGACAAGATGTGCCTAGTTTAAAAATAAAATATCAGACTTTCCCAGTTATAGGCAGTATACGAGAAAATCCAGAAAATCAAGGTGGGCGGTTAAATGTGCCTGTGAGTGTAGTTATTCTATACTTAATTCTACGGAGTTTATACACTATTATGTCTATCCACGAACACTCAGACACTCGCACAATTTAACTGTTAATAGAGAAAATGCGTTATCACTAAATTCACTGAGAGTTATCGGTGTTTTGATCGCGGGTTTGCCGAACCGCGATCTTGTTACGGATTTCGGTATACTAGGTCGCGACTTTGCCGATTCGCGACACCGAGGCTAGTTACGATAACTAGGACAGCTGTCGGGCAGCGGTTGCCCAAACTGCACGAGGTTCCGATAAACTGTGACCGATGATTGCCGACGAACTGTGTCGACGGGCTGTAAAGCTGTTGCTATAGTTACCCCGGACTGTGTGCCGTACGTACGGTGACGACACACCGATTGCATTTTCTGCTCTGTCCAATCCCAGCCCGAGCGAAGGAGAAGTTCTCTCCGTCTCGCTCTATTTTCGGGCGGGGAGACCTGTTTTGGACAGAACAGAACTGCTTTTTCCGGGGCCTATTTTAATGACATTTTATTTATTTGCTCGTCTCCTACACCATTTTCTTACTAATATAACAATTACGGTTATAAATGGTGTAGGAAGACGGCGTCGATAGGAAGTACAGCCCGTCGATACGCTAATTATGGAATTTACTTTGGTAAACTACTAATTTGTTAATTTTTGTGCAAGTGTTTACAATGTTATTCAATATCTTATTATCTAAGCTGATAACTACTTATTATCTAGGCTAATGACTACTTATTATCTAGGCCTTAATGTCTTTAATTGTCGTCGTCCTGCACATCTCTCCCGCCGTGCGACCGCGTCGCATCCTCGTTCGGTGCAGGGCCGACGTCAGCTCGAAGTGGTAAGACGATCAGCTTTCGGACCGGGCGGCGGAGCACACCTCCCTTGGTGCGCAGGTCCACCGTTCTCACGATGTTGTCGGGGCCCGGGTACGTAGCGACTACTCGCCCGCGTACCCAGACGTTGCGGGGCAGGTTCGGGTCGACGACCTGCACTAGGTCGCCGAGTTGGACGGGTTCGCCCCGGCCGTGGGGCTCCCGCCGGTGCTGGAGCTCGGGGAGGTATTCCCTCACCCAACGCTGCCAGAACACGTCTGCGAGACGCTGTGCGGCACGCCAGCTGGCGCGTGAGGCGGCGCCGGCGTCGCCTTCGGTGAGCGTGCCCAGCTGTGGCACGCGTGCAGGGCCTCCCAACAGGAAGTGGTTGGGAGTGAGGGCCTCTGGGTCCTCGGAGCTGACTGAGACATGAGTCAGCGGGCGGCTGTTTACGGTGAATTCTGCCTCTGTAAGCAGAGTGGTGAGGACTTCCTCCGACGGGTGACGCTCATGTAGCGTCGCAGTGAGGGCTGTCTTCACGGAGCGGACCATCCGTTCCCAGGCGCCGCCCATGAACGGAGCCCCAGGCGGTATGTACCGCCAGGCGATGGTTCGTTTGGCGGTTTCTTCGGCTGTCGCTGCGTCGATGGCCTGACGCAGCTCATTGTCGGCCGCCTTCAGATTGGTCCCGTTATCGGACCAGATTTCGGTGGGGCAGCCTCGCCGCGCCATCATCCTGCGGATCGCCATCACCGTGGAATCGGCGCTCAGCGAGGCGGCGACTTCGAGGTGGACGGCTCTGGTGGTGAGACACGTAAATATGGCAACGTACCTTTTCTGGTGACTTCTTCCGACGGTCACGGAGAGTGGGCCGAAGTAATCCACCCCTGTGTAGGTGAAAGGTCGCTGGTGGTGGGCCAAGCGACAGGTTGGTAAGTCGCCCGTCTTTGGTAGTGCAGGCCGTTGTGTGCGGAGGCGACAGAAGAGGCACCTCCTGATTATGGTGCGGGTGGTGGGCCTCAACCTCAGGACCCAGTACTGCTGTCGGCACTCGTTCACGGTGGCTTCCACGCCTGCGTGGTGGAGCTGACGATGGGTATGCTCCACCCACAGACGGACGACAGGGTGATCCCCGTCCAGGATCATTGGGTTCTTTCTCTCCGGTCCAATATCCTTTGCTGCGTTAATGCGGCCGTCCAGTCGCAGGGTTCCATTGACCAGTGCGATGCTGAGTGAACTGATCCTGCTGTTTTTGTCCACTCGCCCTCCCCGACTGAGATCTTGTAACTCCTGTGGGAATGCTTCTTGTTGCGACGCCCGCATAAGAAGCTCTTCTGCTCGTCGCAGGAATTCGGCGGTCACTGGTCTTGCACCTATGACCTTTGGTTGAGGGGCGCTTTGGGACGTACCCTTAGGTAGGCTCTTAGGTTGGTGTGGTTGTCTCCAACTGGGGTCCGATTCTTTATTTTTCT